CCCCGCGCAGGTGGAGGGGCGCAGGCGGCGGGGCGCAGCTGCCCGGGGCGCTCACACTCGAAGTGCGGCGGACGGGCCGGGCTGGGCACGGGCAGGGTGGCCCCAGCCCGTGGACCTGGTGGGGTGCGCGCGGGTTCCTCACTCGCGAGTAATTGGATTCGAGGAATGAACTGGAAGGAAACGGAGGCGCTGCCCTGGCTGGGTTGCTGCCTCCGCGCCCTTCCCGAGTTCCAAGGTCTCCCCCGGCAGCAGGACGAGGAGCCGTCACGGGGACACCTGAGCCCGGGGGTCTCCCTGTCGCTCCAGGTGGGGCTCCCAGCCGTGCCGACTGCCCTCTTTGTTGTGCAACGAAACCAGTATCTCGGGCAGCCCCGAGACCTCCATGCGGAACCCCGCGCCTTGGGGTTGAAACGGCGGCCAGAGCAGAACCAACCCTGGAGCCCAGGTCCTCGCAGAGGGACCCAGTTGGGAGGCGGCAGTGCCTGGCTATCCTGAGGAAAGGCCTGGTGGAGCCGCGGTGGCGGAGGTGGCTGGGCCTTGCACCTTTGAGCCCCCGCAGCCCGCAGCCCGCAGCCCGCAGCCGCTTTCCCGCTGATCCCAACCCCGCCGCAGCACCCTGCTGGATGTGGACCGCTGCCCTGGATGTTTCCTGCCCTAGGTGAGTGTGGCCAGGGGCCAGCCGCCCGTTCTCTGCGTCCTTCCCAGGGCTTGTCGTCCCTTGATGTCCCAGGGCCTGGGTCCCCTTGAGCTCAGCATATAGGGGTAGGCTTTGGTGGTCTTGGCAGAGAATTCCCAGAGCAGACTGGGCATTGCTGTAGTCCCTGGCTGGCCCTAGGGTGTAAGGTGCTGCTGTCCTGCCAAACCTCAGCCCGAGGGTGGGGCTGCTGACCAAGAGAAGTCTCAAGGTCACATCTCCACCTGGCACCCAGGTGCCTGAGCCCCCGAGCTTGAAGCAGAGGCAACTTCCCAGGAGCTGTGGCTGGGGTCCCTCCCCTTCTCCTAGCCCAGCCCAGCCCTCTTGCCCTGCTCTGGAGGCCCCACAGTTAGGAAGGCCTAGCCTGTTCCCAGGCCCTCTTCCTGCCCCTCCCTACACTCAGGAGGGGACCCAGGGCTCTCCCCAGGGTGGGGCGGGCAACAGCCATCCCTCTTGGGCTGACCTTCAAGATATGGGGAGCGGGCAAAGCCTTAGTGTCCCTTCCCTGCCCTCTGCCAGGCAGCTGGGGTGGGAGGGGATGCTGCAGCTGCTGGCCTGCCTGGGGAGGGGGATCGGGAACCAAGGCTGAGCTGTGAGGTCCCCACAGCTCCAGTCGGGTGAGTGTCCCCAGCCTGCCTGGAGGCCAGGAGGGCTACCCTCAAGGCCATGGCCCTGGCCAGGCTGGGTTCTGGACTGGCCAGGCCCTGCCCCCGCGTGGCCAGGCTTAGAAATGGAGAGCAGATCAAACACTGAGGAGCCTCAGAGTGAAAAGGTGACGCTGGGAAAACCAGTCCTCCTGCCCCCACCCAGGGGCCATCTGTGTCCCTGCTTGGCAGAGGCTTGGGGGACCTTATGGGAACAAGCAGAGCAAGTGGCTGCAAAAGGCTTGGAAAGTGGCTTCAAACCAACTCAAACTCTAAGGGGCCTTGAGGCTGACATTGGCCAGGATGGCACGTTGGGGGTAGAAGTGCTGAACCCCCAGTATCGTCCCCCAGAGGGCAGTGAGGTGTGGATGCCCTGGCCAGCAGCTCCCACACTACAGGAGCTTCCAGGACCAGCTGCACCAGAGTGAGGGGATTTTCACCGGGGACCCTGAGGGCTGACAGTGGGGAAGGAGTGGGAAACCAGCTGACACCACCCCTGGGAGAAGGTGGCTCAGGGAGAGAAGCAGCGCGGAGAGGACAGTGGTGAGGAGGGTCCTGGCCCCAGGGTTCCCTGGGAAACCCCAGCACTCCAATGATCACACTGCACTCTAGGCTTCGGGGCACCCCCTCCAAGCCCGACTCTACCCAAACTGAGCTGTCAGGCGGCCCCTCCCAGGCCCCTCGGGGGAGATAGAAACCCTGCCGGGCCAGAGGTGAAGACCAGGTTCCTGACTGTCCCTCCCTTTCTTCCATGCCTCCCTAAATATGGTCAGCTTCTCTGAGTACTCAGCACCCAAAGTGGAGAAAGCTCTATGGGGTTCCTGGTCAAGTTTTGTTCACCCTCTGGTTCCTATCTGGGTAGCAGAGGGTAAAAATATGCCTCCTCTGGTCCACACAAGAGCGTTCCCCAATGTTCTGGAACTGCTATACAGGGGTCCCCAAAGGACCCCACCCCAGCCCACACACAGAGGCACTGTCCCCAGTCAGGTGAGATGAGAGCTTTGCTCTAGCCTCACTTTTGGTAGAAATGTGCCCAGATTTCAACCAGAGGCTGGAGGCTGGAGGCTGGGGAGCCCGGAAGAGCTGCTGTGGGTCCCACGGCACAGAAGGGAAAACGGCGGTAGTCTGTGGCTGGACCCCCAGGGGCTCTTGTGCCACGTGAAATGGTTGTGGCAGGGCTCAGACCACCTGAAAGGCCATCTCCTGGGACCCAGGCCTCTGAAACTGCCTGGAGTCCAGGCTCCCCCAGCGCCCTGCCTCATCTACACTGGAGCCCTCAGAGTCCTCCACCTTTTGCCTCAGCCTCCCACAGTGTGCTGTGACCTGGGTGACTTCGAGGGTGAGAAAGGACAGAGGTCCTAATTTCTGGCTCTGCAGTTCCCTACACTGCAGAGCTGCCCTCCTAGCACCCACACCAGGCTCCTGCTCGCCAGTGGGTGCTAGGAGGGGAGGAGCAGGGGTGTGCCTAGGCAGGACTTCCCTGAACAGAGCCCAGAGACCAATTTCGGGCAAACCTGCATATTCTATTCTGAAACCAATGTCTCTGGAACCCAGGGACAGCCGCCCCTACTGTGGCCAGGCCGCTGCGGTTCCCGGTGTTGCCAGATGTGTGGGGTGTGTCACCGGACTACTCGGAGCTTCACCAGGGTGAGCGGTTCTGTTTTGTTTGTTTGGGTTTGTTTTAAGAGATGGAGACTGAAAACCGAGCTCCCCTGTCCTCTCCCACGAGGCCAGGAGGGGAGCAGCTCTTGGGAGGGCAGGGATCTCAGGGGCCACAGACTGCAGAGACCCAGGCTCCGCACGCACTGCCTGCGGTATCCTCTCGGGGAGCAGTCAACGGAATCTCTTTCCTACACTTTCCCTCTCGACGCGAGGACCTTTAAAAATCCACCAACAAATCCCGTCATTGGGCTGGTGCTGCGTGTGCTCTCCTACTGCGCTTGTACCTCGCGCCCTGCCATGAACAGCTGGGGGGACCCGCGCCCGGTCTCTGCCTGCGCAGCTGTCACCGGGAGTCGGAGGGACCCCACTCACCACAGCGCCCTGTGCGCACACCCGGCTGGGAGGCCCACGGTCGCAGCTCCGATGGCTGCTCTCCTCCACGCGGTTGCCGATGCCTCCCATTCCTGCGCTGGGGCAAGGCCCCGATGGCAACGAACCCCAGGAGCCAAGGCGCTCAAGGGACCGGGCGGCCTGGGCCCAGGGGCCGCCGGGTGGGAAGCCCCCTTTCGCATCCCCAGACGCCCAAGCTGAGCAGCACAGTGGGGAGCAGCTCCGAATCAGCTCCCGGAGAGTCTGCCGCTCCCGTTGCAGAGCTGTGCTCCGGGCTGCGCTCCGGGCTGTGCACCCCGCCCCGCGCTGCAGACAGGCTGGGTTTGAGAATTAAAAGTGTGTCTGTGGCTCAGCACCCTGCAGGTGTCACCCTACGGGAGGGGTGGGGGGTTCTCCTCAGCCTAGGTTTGTCTCCCCTGTAGCAACCTGGGGCCAAGTGCCCGGTCCCCTAAACCCTCCGTGGGGTTGGCAGGAGAGGCCCAGGGGCTGCCCAAATGCCTGATTTTGACAGGGCCTGTGGGTGGGGGAGGGAATGCCATGACCAGGAGGGGCTCGGTGGTCCAGGAGCACTCTCTGCCACCCCGCCCCTCACAGTCCCCTGGAGCTCCCTCCCCAGGGACTTCCGGAGCTCTCTCTCTCTCTCTCCTGCCGAGAGAGGCACACCTGGGTCCCTCCCCCAGCCAGCCCACCAGTCCTGTTCTCCAGGTACCCAGAAATGTAACATAAAGGCTCATGCTCTCGGGTGGTACCACCCAGCAGCCGGAATCCAGAAGAGGACGAGGGCTGGGGCAAGGGCCGGGTGCAGCTCAGCTCTAGGAGTGCACCCCACCCAGCAACCACGTCCTGTCACCGCAGACTAGATCTTCCTGGGGTGTCGGCAGTGCTCCTGGGCTGGAGCGCCAGAGCTGGTTCCAGAGCTACTACGTCCCTGAAGGGAGGCAGGGGTGGGCGTGAGGAAAGCCTGGGGAGGGCCGAGGGGGCTCCCAAGCAGGCCCTCTCCCCCTCTGCTTTCTAGGAAGCCAGCCACTGAGAGGTGCTGCTGGAGACGCTTCCAGAGCTGGCGAGAACAGGGCCAAGACCAGAATGGCTGGGCAGGAAAGAAATGACCAGTTCTGCAGTGACCCCACGGTGGTGGCGTCAGTGATGGGGTCGGTCTGTGTGTCCCAGGCACAGCCCTCCTCCTCCCCAGGAGGGCAAGGGCACCCAGGCCCCGGGGCTAGGGCGGGCAGGCAGGTCAGGACTGCAACCAGCCCCAGGCTTTACAACCTGCACTCACCAGAACCCCCTTTCCTCCTGCATCGGACCCCTCCCAGGCACCACTCAAACCAAGGAAGGGGATGCATGGCTTTAGCCCGATGCCCCTGCCACTCCTGGTGGCCTCACTGTGTGTCGGGCCTGGCGAACCTCACTCTCAGGCAGGCACTGCACTTTGGGCTTACAGCGGGATTACAGAGGGCACACAGCCCGCGGGCACAGGGAGGGGCCCCCTCTTCCAACGGAGCCTGGTCAACGGAGACCCCACAGCTGAGGGGGATGTGAGCCCAGCCTGGGCCACAGCAGGACCTGCTGTCAGCCTCCAAGACTTCCTGGGAGTCCCGGTTCCCAGTCTGAAGCCAGAGGGACGAGCCAGGCAGTATTGTGGGGGTGGCGGCATCCAGAGGAGAGAGCCTCTGAGGTCCAGCGGCAGCAGCCTTCCCTCCTTGAGCTGGCTTTCAGCCAAGGCCCCAGGGGAGATGCCTGCCCTCCGGCTGGAGGGGAGGGGAGGCGAGGCAAGGCGGGTCGGGCCGGGATTGAAGACCTGTTCCTGGAAGCTGCGGGTTCCTCACCCGAAGTCTCAGCGGTTCCAGCGTCAGGCCCCTCCTCTCTCTTCTCCCTCCCTCAGTGTCTCCGTCTGCTCCTTCCCTCTCCCTCTCCTCCCTCCCCTCCCTCCTTCCTTCCCTTCTTCCCTCCTTCCCTCCCCCTCCTTCCTTCAGTTCCCTTCCTTCCTCTCCTTCCTCTCCTTTTTCTTTTGTGGTACTTAGTATTGAACCCACAACTTTCCCACTGGGCTACACCCCCAGCACTTTTTATCTTTTATCTTCCAACAGGGTCTCTAAGTTATCTCCAGGCTGGGCTCAAACTTGGAATCTTCCTGCCTCAGCCTCCTCACATGCTGGGATTACAGATTTGTGCCACTTTCCCTGGCTGGACCTCTGCTCTTGACCTTGGGCTCTGCTAAGCCACTATCAGGACCTGCTGGTCTCCTGCTTCTAAGTCTCCCCAGGTTCAGATCCAGCATTCACTCATTTGCATAGGAGAAAGGCTGGGGCAGGACAGAGTGGGCCAGACTTAGAGTGCAGGGGTGGCAACTATGGAATGGGGTTGTGTCCCCCAGCATGGCTGGGGAATCTCCCACCTGCAAAGCTCTGGCCCACAGTGGGGCTGTGCCTGGTACTTAGTGAGTGCAGAGCTCCGGGACCAGTGTCCTGGGACCTCCTGGGAGACAAGGAGATGGGCATCCCAGCAGCACAGGGGCCAGGCTGCCCACTGAGGCAGAGCCGTAGCCCTGCTCCCGCGTGGCATTCGGCAAGTGGATGCCAGCAGCATATGCCAGGGACAGTGCAGGGAAGTGGCTGCAGAGCCCTGCTGTAGGAGCGCAGGGATTGGGAAGGGAAGTGGACTCACTGCAGGGGGCCTGCGGGCGACAGGCTGGGCACAGGGAGGGCGTCACCTGGCTCCCTCCCTGGGTCTAACGCAGTGCCCTGTGACACTCACTGGTCTCATGTGGCAGGTGCTGAGATGGTTCCTCTGAGGCTCGGGGTTCAAGCTGAGCTGCCCAGGCAGGGCAGGGACCTGTCCTCACAGGCAGCAAGCAGCAGGACTGGAGGAGGGGGCGGCTGCTGAGGCAGCTTTAGCCCAGGGACTTTGCTTTCAGGGTGATCGGTGTGACCGTGGAGCCCTTTCCTAGGGTTCCTGTACAGCCCCCAAGGTGAGGTCCAGAGGTGGCTTCAGCCTCTTGGTCACCTGTGTGCTTGCCCGGGGCCAGGAAAGTTCAGCCATGTGGGGTCAGTGCTTCCTGGGGAGCCCACACTTCGCTGCACCCCTCAATGACTGAGCTGTGGCTGCCTGGGGTACAGGGGAGGCCCACACCTCAGCCCGAGGCCTGGGGGGCTCCCTTGGGGACAAACACATGGAGCAGGTCATGCTCAGTATCTGAGCTTTTAAGAAGGTGTTTCCAGTCGTCAAGGTGCCATTTAAAAAAAGAGGTATCCCTTAAGTGTGCATGGAACCTGGCCTGCTTGGGACCTAGTGGTTCTAGCAAACACGAGTGAGCCAGTTTCCACATTAGAGAAATAACCGTTTCTCATAGAAATGTGGCACTTTAAAAGAGGTTAATTAATAAACAGCAGGTAATTGTTCATGGCACGTTGTGGCGGAGGGTAATTTTCATTTTAGAGGATCGAAGGGCCAAATGCCCCTCCCCACTCAGCATTTTTCTGTAATAATCACCTTGGCTTCCCCTCCGTCTTTAATTTTTACAGCTGGAGCTGTTTATCATCCCTCCAACTTTCACTAAAAAGGCAAAACTATCACTTAAACAAAGCCATTGAAAACTCAGCATCATCTGTGGATTTCTTAACATAAATAAATCATACAAACCAAGATTTATGTTCTTGGGATGATGTCATTCATTGAAGGCTGCCTTCCCAATCAAATCAGCGTTGCATGATTTCCCTGTGTGTGTGATTTTTGCTAAATAAGAACAAGCCTTGCTGGCACCCTGGCTGCGCATGGGCCCAGTTTGTCCTAAGACATCAGCAAGCTCTTGTCCCGGGTCAGTCCTGCAGGGCCCGGCCTGAACGGTGGGAGTGGTCTTCACAGAGTGCTCCGAAAGTTCTTGCTTTGAAGGTCAGTGTCAGGCTGAAAGGCTGCTGGCCCTGGAGCAGAGCCCATGGTGTCCCTGGTCTTCTAGCACCTGCGGTGGGTCCGGCTGCCTTGGCACCACATTAAAGGGAGGACACAAAAGCATGGTGGTCAAGGAGGAGGCGGCATGCCCTGGGCAGGGACCGTCATTTAGCCGTAAAAAGAAACAGCACTGACAGGTGTTCCAACATGGATGAGCCTAGACATCACGATGCCTGGTGAACAGAGCTATCACACGGGACCACGAAGTGTGCTGTTCACCTTCTGAAATGCCCAGAATAGGCAAATCCATACAGAGAGAGTAGATGAACACCAGCCAGGGGCTCAGGGAGGGGCAGGCAGAGCATGACTCCATACCAACCCAAGTGCTGGAAGCACCCCACAACTAGGTGCAGGGTAGGCACAGGTTGAGTGTACTAATGCCACAGCCTCATTCAGTTCATAAAGGGTGGCTGAGATGATGTGTTAGCATTTCCTCACTGTGACAAAATGCCCGACATTAACTACCTCAAGGAGGAAATTTTTATTCTGGGTCACTGTTGCAGAGGGTTCAGTCCATGGCCAGCTGCTCTAAAGCGGAAACATTATGGAGGGAGGATGTGTGGGGGGAAAGCTGCTTACTTCATGGTGGCCGGAAGCAGAGAGAGAGGGGGAAAGAGCCAGAGGGGAAGATGTGGGTGCCACATACAGTCCCCGAGAGCACACCTGCATGACCCACTCCCTCCACCTCCTTAGAGCCTAGTTACCTGTGAATGCTTTAATGGGTGCGGCCTGTGATCCAATCTCTTCTCCAAGGCCTTTGGGGCACATTTGAGATTCAAGCTCTAACAGATAGCATGTGAATTATATCCCGGTAAGGTTGTTATTTAAATGCTGTTAGCATTTGCGATGAGCATATGAATAGAGTGTGCACAGCGCACTGCAAAGCTCGGAGAGTGTGAAAAGGACACCAGGCCCCAGTGCTTGCTGGACAGAGAAGCACAGGCCAAGCTCTCCCTGCAGCCCCTCGGCCAGCTGCATGACCTTCCAGTCGGCCTGGGGGTCACCACTGTTCAGGGTTTGTGCCAACTGTTCCTTCTACCTGATTTACAGTCTCATCACCTAGCACAGACCTGGAAACTGCAGAAGCTTAATGAAATTGAAGTGAATGGGGAACATTACAGTCACCTTGATCGGTGAATGAAATGTGCTGCATCCACACACCGGAATATTAGTCAGCCATAAAAGGAACGAAGCTCTGACACACGCTACAACAAGTGATGGGAGCCAGACACAGATCACACAGCACGTGGCTCTGTTTATGTGAAATGTCCAGGACAGGCCGCTCTATTAAGGCAGCCGTGTCCCTGGCAGGTGACGGTTCTGAGAACAGATGACCAGACCAGAGCCTGGCTTCTGTCCTCAGGCAGTGATGGACCCTCAGCAAGAAACAGTAGGGCTCGGCAAGGCCAG